CCCTGGCCTGCCCACGCCGATATGTTCTGTCGCGCACGCGCGTCCCCCACGTGTGCCCTAGCTTCACAATAACAATGCGCCGAGCTTCAGCACTCTGGCCTGCGCACGCCGATATGTTCTGCCGAGCGCGCGTGTCCTCCACGTGTGCCCTAGCTTCACAATAACAATGCGCCGAGCTTCAGCACTCTGGCCTGCGCACGCCGATATGTTCCGTCGCGCGCGCGCGTGTCCTCCACGTGTGCCCTAGCTTCACAATAACAATGCGCCGAGCTTCAGCACTCTGGCCTGCGCACGCCGATATGTTCTGTCGCGCGCGCGTGTCCTCCACATGTGCCCTAGCGTCACAATAACAATGCGCCGAGCTTCAGGACTCTGGCCTGCGCACGCCGATATGTTCCTTTGCGCGCACGTGTCCTCCACATGTGCCCTAGCTTCATAATAACAATGCGCCGAGCTTCAGGACTCTGGCCTGCGCACGCCGATATGTTCCGTCGCGCGCGCGTGTCCTCCACATGTGCCCTAGCTTCATAATAACAATGCGCCGAGCTTCAGCACTCTGGCCTGCGCACGCCGATATGTTCCGTCGCGCGCGCGCGTCCCCCACGTGTGCCCTAGCTTCATAATAACAATGCGCCGAGCTTCAGCACTCTGGCCTGCGCACGCCGATATGTTCCGTCGCGCGCGCGTGTCCTCCACGTGTGCCCTAGCTTCACAATAACAATGCGCCGAGCTTCAGCACTCTGGCCTGCGCACGCCGATATGTTCCGTCGCGCGCGCGTGTCCTCCACATGTGCCCTAGCTTCATAATAACAATGCGCCGAGCTTCACATGGCCTGCGCACGCCGATATGTTCCGTCGCGCACGCGCGTGCGCGTGTCCTCCACATGTGCCCTAGCTTCATAATAACAATGTGCGAGCTCGCTGACGTTGTTAGGTCCATTTTAGGGGGGCTGAAGCCCCTCTAAAATAATCACAAGCCCCCCTATCTTTTTGAGTTTTTTTAGGGCTGGGACTTTAACGCGTTATTTTGATTAATTAGAAAAAAAACAACACGTTAAAAAAAATTCACGCATTTAATCGCAGCTTGCATTTCGAGCACGACGGAACCTTTGTCATTGCACGACTTCCTCGTAGACAGAATATCACTGACGCACACAACAATGCACAGTGCTAATGGCTTCTAAAACGAAAAAAAAAAAAACGGAAAGAAGTTGCCTTGCTTGGACTGATGCAGCATTTTGGAAACACGTCTGCCTCTTTTCTTAACTTGGAAAAAAAAAAACTCCCAGACAACAACGGAGTCCGTGTCACTGACATTTTTCAGAGATCGTCTCTGCTTCGGCTGCCCGGTGGCACAGGAAACTTTACAAAAGTTGCGGTAAGCTATATTTTTAACATTTACGTAACATCTGTGCAGCGCTGAAAGCACCAGACAGAATAATTCTGTGCCCTAACAGTAGTTTATGAAAGTAGTCAGACAAACGAGAGGCACCTGGCTGCCGCTGGGAGAACGCTCCGTGTTCTCAATACTCTGTAAACAATCACAGACAACGTTAAAGTTGAAAACAGAAGTTTAAGTTAAAACAGACACTCTGAAACTTTTCTGATGATTTTCTAAACAATTCTGTCGGGGAATTCTATGTTTCTGAGACGAGTCTCTGTCTAAACATCATCGCATGCATTACTATCATTAAGCAGCAGGTTTGTTGAAGCTGTCATCAGCTAAGGGGTGGATGCTTACGTGTATCAGGGGCAACGAGAAAGTTGTGGTCAGGCTGGATATCACACCACATTCGCTACTGCAGGTGTGAATCTGCGGGTCTGCAGTATCCCCGTATTAACGTGACATCAGGACTTCCCATGTAAGGAAGGTCCGCTCACCTGTTCGTCAGATCGTTATTTCCTCGCCATGATCTTTTATCTTCCTATCATCCTCCAGTCATCCAACTGGAACCAGTTAGTGTTCCTGATCATTCCAGAATATGTCATGCCTGCTCTGGTGTTAAAAGTTAGCACATTTAAGTCCTAGTCAGGGGTGTCAAACATGTGGAGATGGTTGTGTAAACTTTATTTTCCTACTTTACAATGTAGAGTGAAAATAAACGTATCTTTGTGAGCAAGTTTTCTCTGTAATGAGTACAACTAAAACAAAGCGGCGCTCAAGGCTCACACAAGAACTTGAATCACATCCTGAAGTTGGCCGCCACTCAGGATGTGACTTCTGATATGATATTGATGTGCTGGTGAAAGCTAAAAGATGTAATGTAAAATGAGTCAAATATACTTTAAGTGCTGCATGAAACTAATCTAGCCATGTGATCTGTAAGCTCTTTGAATCGCTAAGGAATGTTTTTTATTTTTAATTATTTTTCAAATTTTCAAGTTCACTTCAGGTGTTGTACTTGTACTATTTTGGATACATTGTCCTCAGGCTCCAACTTTCTTTTATATTGATTGTATTAAAACAAAGAAAACAATCTGAAGTTGTTTTTAATTTACCGGTCCAGCCAACTTGGGACTAGATTTCCCTCAATGTGGGCCCTGAGCTAAAAGGAGTTTGACACCCCTGTCCTAGATCATATTTGTGCCTGTTCTACTGTCATTTTGAAGGATTATTATTTATGTGTTTTTACTACATTATGAGTAAAAATGCTAATAAAAACTCCCAATCATACAAACAAGTAAAACTGGAAAAATTAGAATCTGGTGCAAAGTCAAATTTATTTCAGTAATTCAGCTAGACAGAGAGACTATTTAAAGGCCCAGGAACCCTTTGCAGGCGTTTCCTATTTGTAATTATACATTTTAGTTGATTTGGGTTTTGTTTCATATCACACAGTGACATTTGATTAATTAAAATGCATTTTTTATTAAAAGCTTTAGTTTTACAGTAATAACTATGTCTAATGTTTAATTCTCTGTCTCATAATTTTAATTAAGTTTTGCTTTGAGAGCACATTTTACTGAACGATTAAAATGCAATTAATTTAGATTAATTAATTACAAAGCCTCTAATTAATTAGATTAAAAATTTTAATCAAGTCCCAGCCCTAATTTTTATATATACTGTTATTTTGTCTTGTAATTGTTAATTACATACTCCTTTATTCCATATCATATCAGTGTTATTCATATATTAAAACTGTCAACTGCACACTCATTTGGCAGAATAAAAGTTTGACAATTATTCATTTGTTCTTTGTCATATTTCAGTAACATTTATAATCAAGCAAGTTGTAATTAAACAAATTTAAAAAATGACTGCAACATTTCCCCATGTTAAGTGCAGTAGACTGAAATGAATAGCTTTATTTGGAAATATAACATATCTAATTTTTAATGGACTTATATAAAATCTTTCTTCAACATAGACCCCACTAATGAACTGATTAAGTGTTATTTTTATAAAAAGAAGAGAGAAAATGCACAAAGGTAGGAAAGGAAAAGAAAGTGATAAAAAATAGGTTTTGTTAAATGTTCTTCAGATAATGAATTAATTGACAAAGTTTTTGCAGGGTGTGAAAAAAATGTTCAAGGTCAAGCTCCTGGGGCTAAGCCCCCCCTATATCTCAATCCTAGTGACGTCCATGTGTGAGCTTCAGCATTCTGGCCTGCGGACGCCGATATGTTCAGTATTTGATCATTTTTAACGATGTTGGAGGAATCTGAAGGTGGCGAGCCATTCTGGCAGATTGTAATTAACACCTGTCTCATGCAGGTGTTCTGACATTGTAAACCTCACACACAGAACATTGTGGATGTAACAAAATAAATCAAGAAATGATTCCCATTCAGGCTATTAACAGCGTGCTGAAGATCTGAAGTTCAGAGCGCGTCTGTCAGAGGTCACAGGCGTTCCAGTGGAACCACGGCTCACGGGTGCACAAGTGAGCACATCTGGGCTGGGCAGAAGTAATTTTACAAAATTGGTTTAAATAGCACCAATAACGAGACGCGGTGACTTGAGCGGTTCATGGAGCTGTGCCGCGTGCGCACACACACACACACACACAGATTCAATAAGCGCGCACGCTGCGCAAACTCCGGCGCGCTGTCAGACTGAAGACAGAAATGAACGCTGCCTCCTCCGTGATAAAAACTTTTAAGAGTTTTTTTTTAACAACATTTTTCATTCAAGGTCAAATTAAGATATTAGCTTCTATTTTGGGATGACGTATTAAAGTCGGGTCCGCTCCAGCAGTGACTCCTCATGAACCTGACTACAACTCATGTTACTGCAGCATTTGTTGTTCCAGTCCGCGTGGCAGCGGATCGCAGATTCAGCCACAACATAAAACAGCAATAAGTCTGTCTGAGGCAAAAGTGAACGTCATGGCTTTTCCACCTTTTCCCGTATAGACATTTGATTACGCACAAGTAGGTGATCAGCTCAGGTTTACGCAGAACAGAAGGAAGGAGAGTGCTCTGGCCGCTCAGGTTAAACGTTCCTACTTTAAGAAAACCGTTAAATTGCATTGTTTATGTGCTACCTGGGCACTCTAAATATTTATTTAAAATTAAATCAAAGGAAATTGTAATGGTATCGAATGTTTATTAATTACTATTTAAAAAAAGAAAGTGATGGGGAAATAGGTCGATCATATTTTTTTAACCCTGTCTGTTTAGCTTTACGTCTGATATACATATATATATATATATATATATATATATATATATATATATATATATATATATATATATATATATATATATATATATATATGGCCATGCCCTGATGTGGGGGCTGGGGGGGGTGGGGGGTGCGTCGACATGGTCGGGACATAGCAGGGGGTGCGCGGCTAAATAAGTTTGGGAACCACTGTCGTAGGCTACTGAAATTTGCTCCCTAATTGCATTAGAGTGAATCCACCACATTATTCTGGCTGGGGCAGTTTTATACGGTGCCTACTGGTGATTTCTGTGAACAGCTATGGAACTGACTGCCTCAAAAATGATGATATAAAAATTATTATTGTTGTTGTTACACTGAATAACCCAAGTATCTAGGACCTCAGAGCAGAATAACGGCGTATCTTCAGATCCTGACCACGAGTCCTTCAGTGAAGTGGAGTCAGAGACAAATGACAACTATGTAAGAAATTTCCCACAAACTTGTTTAAATTTATTTTAAAACACCTTTCCAGGTGATTGTAGGGATGCAAAAAATACAACCACCTCTGTTTTTTTCTTTGTGTTTGTTTTCAGAAGACTGAAGTTAAAGTTGTCCATCACGTGGAATTATACGTATCATTGGACGAGATTCCAGAGAGATTTCATAAGAATCCTAAAGATCCTATCTTCTATTTTCAACGAAACCTTAAAGGTGACATAACTATTTCACAGTAAAACAAAGTTAAGTTGACATTAAAATTACAGACAATTAAATTAAATCAAATTTTACTTTGTAACAGAGACTATTGTTCACCCAGTGGACATGAAAGAAGCCAATACTCTAATGACTAGGTTAATAGACATTGGTATGCAGAGTGGAGATCCGCTTGAGGCGTTTCGAAGGCAACTGCTCCATGTAAGTCCATAACAATGAAACATTTGTTACATCTGGCTCTTGGTAAATAATGGTGTATATTTCTCTGTCACCTTTCAGATTTATGTACCCTGGTTTACTGCTGAAGCAAGACCAACAGCTGCCCCAAAGAAAGCTCCTACTGATCTGCCACTTAAGGGTCGTCATTCGGTGCTCACCAGTGTGCACAAATACCTCGGAAAGCTCAGTCAAACAATCCGACAGATTCATGCTCAAGGTTTGTTTGGTTCACAACAAGAAAATAAAGGGAATGAAAACAGAATGTATTATTGAGGGCCAGAAATCAGGAAATAATTTGAACTGAGTAAAAAAAAAAACATTTTCATCATGATGAATTTATTCTGAGTACAGTTGTCATGACTCGAGGTAAGTGCCTAACCCAAGACATGCAGAATCAGACTCGACGAGTAGGTTGAGTAAAAGAAAAGTTCTTCATTCAAAAAGCGGGAAAAAAAATAGCACAGGGAAGTCCTATGGGAGATGAGCGGTGCAGCTCGAGTCCATGTAGCGCTTGGGGTGAACAAGGGAGGCGTGAAAGCCGAGGTGAGTGCTGGGCAGAGGGTGAGCAATCCGGGATGGGTGAGGTAGCAGAGAGGGACCAGACAGGAACAACGGAGGAGGATGGGACGTGGTGTATGTAATCCAGAGTTCGAAACAGCGAGGGTGAGGCAGGTTGTGTGAGGATCCTGAGGGAAGGCAAACAAACACCAGATGTAAGGGGTAGTCCCAAAACGTAATCCACAAATCAGTCCGAGGTCAAAATCCAAGTAATCCAAGAGCGAGTCAAAGCAAACAAACAAGTACAAATGGCTGTATTTGATGTAGCGCCTTCTAGAGTCCTGGAAACCCCCAAGGCGCTTTACAACACAATCAGTCATTCACCCATTCACACGCTGGTGGGGATGAGCTACGATGTATCCACAGCTGCCCTGGGGTGCACTGACAGAGACGAGGCTGCCAAGCACTGGCACCACCTGTCCCTCTGACCACCACCAGCAGGCAAGGTGGCTTAAGTGTCTTGCCCAAGGACACAACGACAGCGACAAACTGAGCGGAGCTCGAACCTGCAACCTTCCGATTATGAGGCGAGCACTTAACTCCTGTGCCACCGTCGCCCACAAAAGTACAAGTACAAGTGGCTGGGGCTACCTAAACTGGTGCAATCATCCGGCGTTGTGAGGTGCCTCCATCCTCCTTTTAAACCCGAGTTCCTGATTGGGAATCTCCTGCTGCTGCAGCCCCCTCCGCTCCTCACCTGTGGGAAATCAGCTCAATAACAGTTAGAGTGGAGATGGTGTCACTCACCTCGGCTCGGGAACATGACAACAGTGTCTTTGCCCTAGGTGAAATTGTACTCCAAATTCCTGACCTGGACCTGGAGCTGGAGGTGAATGTCCTGCTGAACAGTCCTGAGATAGTAGAGAGGTTGGAGCAATGTGTGATGAACTGGCAGACTCAGATTACCACCATTATGGAGGAACAGCAAAGCAATCAGCCAGAGGTTTGCAATGATCCATCATTCATAAAATTACAACATAACTGATCGTTTCAGGGACTGGAGCACATTTCATCACTCACATGTCAAGAAAAGAACATTTTTCATTCCTCTAATGATTTGGTAGAGGAGGGGAAGGGTTAATTCAGTGATAAATCTGGGAGAAGTGATCACCTGTGATTCTCTTTCAGGTTCCTGGACCTATTGCAGAGATAGAACTTTGGCGGGACCGTGCTTCTGTTCTCAGTGCTCTGTGTCAACAGCTCAAACAGCCGATGGTACAGAAGATCCTGGATGTCACGACTAAAGCAAATCCAGCCATTATTCACACCCTCAATGGAACCATTGCTGATCTATCTAAATACCACTCAGAGTCAGATAATAATGTATTTTTCCTTAAGACGCTGGAAAGACACTTTTTGGTGAGTAGCCTTGTTTCTTTACACCCAAGTTTTTCTGAACAATTGAACAAGTAGGCGTTGGTCCATTTGTTGTGGCATCTCCTCCTTTAGAGGCATCTTCTCCTTTAGACGTGTTGTTGTCCTTTGTAGAATTTGGCTGCTGGGTCAGATTTTACCATGATGAAGGAGACTATCCCTGAGATGATGGAGAGCTTACAGATCATCTGGCAAATCTCTCGCCACTACAACTCAAACGAACGTATGGTCCCTCTAATGGAGCGGATTGCGTGGCAGCTTTGTGAGCAAGTGTCTAGAGGACTTCATGTTCTGAAACTGTTTAAGTATGCATTAATGCTTTTCATTTTATGGTTGAAAACAGCTCAAAAGTAAAGTTTTGGTGCTAATTTGTGAAAACAATATAATCGTCTATTCAAATGGATTTGCTGTTTAAGTCTAACTTCACAAAACGCTGTGTGTTGAACAGAGTGAATAGGGAAGAGGCCTATTCCATGGTGCTTTGCGCTAAGAGTGTCCTGGAGCAGTGGAAGTCATCCTACTATGACGTGCGCGCTGCAATTGAAAAATCAGGCAGAGCACCTCGATGGGAATTTGATCATAAAAGACTGTTTGAGATCAGCGATTACATGGCGTCTGTCTGCCAGGATCTGTGTTATGTGTTTCAGGTCAGGCTATTTATATTTAGTGAAACTCCAAAAGTTACTGGCCACTTACACAAAAGCCATATTGTAAATTTAGAACTTTTGACAAAGCTCTTCTGGATTTGGGGTTTTACAGGTGCAGAAGGAATTCCACAACTTCTTTGACCCAGACATGAAAAGTAGGGAACAGATCAAGGAAATGTTGATCAGACTCGATGGTCTAGTTTCACTTTTTGAGGAGGTCGAGTTTGATCCTTTCAACATCTCAAAAAACGGCAACTGGAAAAAGGTCATGCAAGACTTTGACTCTGCACTTGGGGTAGGTCCAGGAAATGTATAACTAGACCAGTTAATATTCAGCATAATTGAATGAAGAAAGGTGGATTTTTTTTTTATCAAGCTTCTTTGTTTTCTCACTCAGGTTATCGATGAAGAAACGATTGAATTTGTCGATTTGGCTTTTAAAACTGTGCATTCGTCTGCTGCTGCTTTTGAAATGCTGCTGAAATTCCAACAAATCCCCTTCAGAAAGTCCATCAATGACCATTTGAAACGAAAGTTTGATGGATTCCTAATCCAGTATTGCAATGAGGTACTGTACAATCAAAATCTACAAAAGCTAGAAAAACTAAAATATGGGGATGAAAGTATTTTGCAGTATGCAGAGAGTAAGTATTTTTGTTGCTGCTACAGGTTGACAGAATTAATAAAATCTTTGATGCAGAGAAGAGCAAACCATATTTAGTAAAGTGTGAGACTCCTGTGGCAGGATCCATTACATGGGCCAGAACTCTTTTCTGCCAAATTAAACAACCCATGCTTTCCTTCCTGAAAGCAGCACAGATGCTTGGAAGTGAACAACAAAGCTACATGGTGAGTTGTCTTCACTCTGTTAAAGTTCCAATATGGGAAAACATTTATGGTTTTCACAGTTTTTCTGCTCAGGTCAAAATCAAGTATAAGGACACTGCACTGCGGATTAGGGAATATGAGACAAAGAAATATGAGGACTGGCTGAAAGAAATTGAAAACAGCTGGCCACTATTGAAACAGCCTCTGCTGACTATCAGAGAAAACCAAGACCTGGTATGGACCACTCACTGTTACTCATATCAACTTGTTTCCCTCGTGTGTTTTTTATCGGCCGTCAATTGTGCACATTCTCCCACTTAAAAAGATGAGAGAGGTCTGTAATTTTCATCATAGGTGTACCTCAACTATTAGACAAAATGAGAAAGAAAGTTCCAGAAAATCACATTGTCTGATTTTTAAAGAATTTATTTGCAAATTATGGTGGAAAATAAGTATTTGGTCTCCTACAAACAAGCAAGGCTCTCACAGACCTGTAACCTCTTAATGGCACCTGTTGGAACTCGGTATCAGTATAAAAGACACCTGTTCACAACCTCAAAGAGTCACATTCTAAACTTTACCATGGCCAAGACCAAAAAGCTGTCAAAGGACACCAAAACCTGCACCAGGCTGGAAAGTCTGAATGTGCAATAGGTAAGCAGCTTGGTGTGAAGAAACCAACTGTGAGAGCAATTTTTAGAAAGTTGAAGACAAGACCACTGATAATCTCCCACGATCAGGGCTCCACACAAGATCATACCCCATGTGGTCATTATGATCACAAGAACAGTGAGCAAAACTCCCAGAACTACACGGGGGTCCCAGTGAATGACCAGCAGAGAGCTGGGACCAAAGTTACGAAGGCTACCAACAGTTAAACACTACGCCATCAGGGACTCAAATCCTGCAGTGCCAGACGTGTCCCTCTGCTTAAACCAGTACATGTGCAGGCCTGTTCTAAGTTTTCTAGAGAACTGTATTGCTACGAGCAAATGTAATGTTAATCTTGTTTGTTTTCGTAAGAATTAATGTTTAAATCTCATTGTTAGAAAAAAGGGTACTGTCGCTTTAAGAGGGACTGGATCTCAGACACAGGAAGTTGCATAGGCTATAGAGTGAGGAAATCAGGAAGCAAGCACATGGCACAGAGTGGAGGTTGTTAGTCGAGTCAGTCCAGCTGCATCTGCAAACGTCTTCTGCTTTTTGTTAGCATCGTAGGTATGTATTGAAAGTTAAATATATTCTTTGTCATATTAGTTCATTATTTTTGGGAAAATTATATTTTGTAAACATATATTTACACACTGGGAAATAACATTGCCAATTTGGGTTTATAAGGCGGATATATGTGTTAACCCCTTCACTGAAATAAGTCAACAGATAAATACATAATTCATGGCATGTTAAAAATATAAAATATGTAAACTAAAAGTACAAGTTAATGAGTACAGCTGATTTCATTGTTAAACAGTGATTTATTTGATTTCTGTTGAATGTGTTTGTTTAAGAGGAAACAGAACTGATTATAATTTGTATGTTTCAGTTTCACCTTCCTTGCTACGTCAATAAACCTGTGTACAAGGAGTCATCTGTCTGCAGAGTCTTGATGTTCAAGGAGGCGTTTATCTGACTGTCAAGTCATATAGAGCACGTATGATGAGGACAGCACAGTGAAACTACGGCTCTCAGTCCAGCGGGATAACGCAATGTAAGCTGAAAACAAGACTAAATCCCCACACATCATCAGTGGACAACAATTACTCTTCAAGATCGGTAAGACTACACCATGGCAGAGGAGGCGTCTTTAAAGACACGTTCACGAGCCTCATGTTCATCAGTACAATCAAGTGTTTCAGCAACTGGGTCTGCTGCAACAAAGGCAAGAGCAAAGGCTGAAGCTGCTAAGGCACGGCTTGCCTTTGTTGAAAAAGAAGTTAGTCTGCAGCTAGAAAAAGTAAAATTGGAGGCATCTTTAAAGAAACTTAAATTATGAGGAAGAGTCAGCAGCAGCTATTGCTGAAGCAGAAGCCCTCGAAGCTGCAGCTGATATTAACAGTGAAAAAAGTGAAAAGCAGAGCTCTAAGTTATGCTTAGATTCTATTCCATTGGACTCTTCAGCACGCACAGAGCAATATGTTGTCAACCAAAATCAGATACGGGAAAATAACTCACAGCCATTTGTTGATCCAACAAAAACCGAACAGATGTCTAATTGTGTTCTGTCTGACCAACTTAAAGTAAATGCTGCACCCTTTCTTCCAAACTGCATTACTACTGCATCCCAATCACAACCCATTGCTCTAGATCCTCCTCCAGTTGGTCGCAAAGAAAGATTTGAGCATGCTAGGATGCAATACGGTAACTGTCGTGATTCCCAATATTGCAGACCTTCAAATACGACACCTTCCTGTCCACAACCTGCACTCACAAATAACGACAGCTCAAACATGAGTGACTTTGTACGATATTTAGCTCGTCGGGAGCTTGTGGCAACAGGTTTATTACAATTTAATGATAAACCACAGAACTACAGAGCCTGGAAACGTTCCTTTCTGTCCGCAACACAGGATTTAAACCTGTCACCGAGTGAAGAAATGGATCTTCTGCTGAAGTGGCTCGGCAAAGAATCAGCACAACATGTGGAACAGATAAGAGCGATACACATCAACTATCCACAAGCAGGACTGGATATGATATGGAACAGACTTGATGAAACCTATGGATCAGCTGAAGCTATAGAAAATGCGTTGTTCAAACGTATTGAAGACTTCCCAAAAATACCTAACAGGGATTCCTATAAGCTAACCAAACTGGGCGATCTTCTAATGGAACTTTCATCTGCCAAAACTGAGGGCAACTTACCTGGTCTGTCTTTCCTCGACACAGCTAGAGGAGTCAACCCAATCGTGCAAAAGCTACCGTTTCGCCTACAGGAGAGGTGGGCAACAGTCGGTGCAACCTACAAACATCTAAATGGGGTCACCTACCCTCCCTTTGCTTATTTTGTTGACTTTGTATGCCAGGAGGCTAGGATCGCCAGTGACCCATGTTTTAACTTCATCTCTCATACAGACGCAACACAGATGAGCAGACCGGCTCCAAGGTCGAACAAGTTTAAGGAAGTATATGTGCACAAGACAGAAATCTCTCCTCAAGCCTACACGTATACTGAAAAAAGATTAAGACCGGATGAATACGACAAAATGTGTCCTATACACAAGAAACCTCACCCTCTGCATAAATGTCGCACATTTAAAGAGAAACCCATCAAGGACCGTATGACATTTCTAAAAGAAAATAACATTTGTTACCGGTGTTGTTCGTCCTCCACACACATTGCCAGGAACTGCAAAATGAAGCTACAATGTGAAGAGTGTAAGAGCGAAAATCACCACACAGCACTGCACCAAGAACCCAGAAAGGGGGTGAACGCCTTACATGAGCATGGCGGGGAGGATGACGAACCAACAGAACAACCAAAGGTAAACTCAAAATGCACCGAAGTCTGTGGTAGCGAATGGACTGATCGTTCTTGCTCCAAAATATGCCTTGTAAAGGTGTACCCAGCTGGCCACAGAGACAAGGCTGTAAAGCTGTATGCCATACTGGATGAACAAAGCAATCGATCACTTGTGAGGTCACATTTTTTTGATGTCTTCAACGACCAGAGCCCAAGCGCTCCATATACACTGAGAACATGTGCTGGGGTTAAGGAGGCAGCTGGGAGAAGAGCTAGTGGCTATGAAGTGGAATCATTAGATGGAAGTGTGCGCATCCCACTACCAAGTCTCATAGAATGTAATGATATTCCTAACAACAGAGAGGAGATTCCCACACCAGAGGTGGCCTTTCACCATCCACACTTGGAGTCGTTGGCTTGTCTTATCCCTGACATCGACCCCCATGCCCAGATCATGTTGCTGCTTGGTCGAGACCTTATTAGAGTTCATAAGGTGCGCAAGCAGGTGAATGGCTCACACAACCTACCTTATGCTCAAAAACTCGACCTAGGGTGGGTTATTGTTGGAAATGTATGTCTAGGAAGTAACCACAAGCCACAATCAATCAACACCTTTTACACCAAAACCATGGAGACAGCACGCCCAACGCTCTTTGAACCTTGCCCCAATGTGTTCAGTGTTAAAGAGAAATATGACAACACACACATTCCGATACATCCTTCGTCCTTATCTGAGATTAAACCAGACTGTGAGGCGGACCATCTTGGTTATGTTGTCTTTAAAGAGACAAAGGAGGACAACCAGCTGGCTCCTTCAATCCAGGATTCCCTTTTTATGGAAATAATGAATGAAGGTCTGCATAAAGATGCAAATAATAGTTGGGTGGCGCCTTTACCCTTTAAACATCCACGACAGCGGCTGCCCAACAATAAGCCTCAGGCATTGAAACGACTCATCTCCCTGAAATACAACTTCAGAAGGAAGCCAGAAATGAAGGAACATTTCATCAACTTCATGGAGAAGATGTTCGAAAAAGGCCATGCAGAAGTAACCCCTCCGATAGTAGATGACAAAGAACAGTGGTACTTACCCATTTTTGGCGTGTACCATCCGAAGAAGCCCGGCCAAATTAGAGTTGTGTTTGACTCGAGTGCTCAGTACGAGGGTGTGTCACTCAATGATGTCCTGCTGTCTGGACCAGACCTGAACAACTCTCTGCTGGGTGTACTTCTGCGGTTTAGAAAGGAAGCAGTTGCCTTCACTGTCGATATAGAACAAATGTTCTACTGCTTCTATGTGAGAGAAGAAGACAGAAACTTCCTGCGTTTCCTGTGGTTCCAAGACAATGACCCTTCTAAAGATGTTGTGGATTGTCGTATGAATGTACATGTCTTTGGAAACAGACCTTCACCAGCAGTGGCTATTCATGGTCTCCATCAGTCTGTCCAAGATCGAGAGTCCAAGGTTGAGCCTGATGTCAAGAACTTTGTCACACGTGATTTTTACGTGGATGACGGTCTTAAATCCATGCCCTCCACCGAAACAGCAGTGAGTCTCCTGAAAAGGACTCAAGAGGTTCTTGCTAAGTCAAACCTCCGACTGCACAAGATAGCCTCAAACAAAAAAGAAGTTATGGAAGCCTTTCCGTCCACTGATCACGCTAATAGCCTCAAAGACCTTGATCTAGATGATGACTCACTGCCGCTGCAACGCAGTCTTGGACTCAACTGGGACCTCCAAGCAGACTGTTTTGTGTTCAATGTCTCAGACAATGTGAAACCATACACTCGGCGGGGTGTATTATCCACTGTTAACAGTCTTTACGATCCTCTTGGATTTGTGGCGCCAGTAACTATCCAAGGAAAGGCTATTCTGCGAGAACTAACCACTGAAAAAGGAGATTGGGACTCACCATTACCAAAAGATATGGAGCAAATCTGGGAGTCATGGAGAGCATCTTTATCACAACTGTCTGGGTTTTCTGTTCCCCGACTATACACACAAACATCGCCTTCAGAAGCTTACAGAAGAGAACTGCATGTCTTCTGTGACGCATCAATCAAGGCTATTGCTGCAGTAGCGTATCTAAGAGTCGTTGATGCACGTGGAAATTGTTGTGTTGGATTTGTGATGGGCAAAGCCAAACTCGCCCCTCGTCCTGAAATGACCACGCCAAGATTAGAACTTTGTGCAGCAGTTCTTGCAGTAGAACTGGCAGATTTAGTCTCTACAGAAATGGATCTCCAGCTCCATACTATGTCCTACCATTCAGACAGCAAAGTGGTCCTGGGCTACATTTATAACGAAAACAGGCGGTTCTACGTCTTTGTCAGCAACAGAGTACACCGCATTCGGAAATCATCCCTTCCAAACCAGTGGCACTATGTCCCAACAGACCAAAATCCTGCAGATCATGCTACACGTTCTGTTGTGGCAGGTCACCTAAAGAACACAAACTGGTTGAGTGGCCCAAAATTTCTGGTAAGTCCAGAACCAAGTACACCTTTGATCTTGTGGACCCGGTTGCAGACCCAGATGTGAGGCCTTGGGTGTCTACCCTGTCTACCACAGTGTCTTCAAAAAACATTGGTAGTGAACGCTTCACCAAGTTCTCTGCATGGAACTCTCTCACTCAGACCATGGCTCGGCTGTTGCACATAGCAAAGATGTTCAGCACAGCGAAAAGGGAGGTCCGATCCTGCAAAGGCTGGCATTGCTGTAAGACAAAGGTAACTGTGAAGGAAATCGACCAAGCTGCAAACGTTATTGTGCGTACGGTGCAGGAGGAAATCTATGCTGAAGAGATCAAGTGCATTCAGAAGTCAGAAAGAATTCCTAAAGGCAGCCCTCTCTACAGACTGGACCCATTCATCGACAAAGATGGACTTCTCAGAGTTGGGGGCCGTCTCGTCCATTCCACTCTTGGGCAAGTCGAAAAGAATCCATTGATCGTCCCTGGGAAACACCATGTTGCAACCTTGATAATAAGACACCATCATGAACAAGTACACCATCAAGGCCGCCATTACACGGAAGGAGCTATTCGGACATCAGGATTTTGGATAATTGGCTGTAAAAGAAGGGTTAGCAGCATCATCAACCAGTGTGTCACCTGTAGACGACTAAGAGCTCCTTTGAGTGTCCAGAAGATGGCAAATCTTCCAACAGATCGTTTGACTACAGATCCTCCGTTCACAAATGTGGGCCTGGATGTGTTCGGGCCGTGGCACATCTGTTCACGTCGTGCAAGAGGTGGCCTGTTACACAGTAAAAGGTGGGCTGTAATATTTACGTGTATGAGTGTAAGAGCTGTTCACATCGAGGTCATCGAGTCACTTGACGCATCAAGCTTCATCAATGCATTGAGGCGTTTTCTTGCAGTGCGAGGGCCAGTCAAGCTCATACGTTCAGACCGTGGCACTAATTTCGTCGGAGCCTGCAAGGAGTTAAATATACCCTCAAACATTGACAACTCAGCGATCAACACTTACCTCTTGAAAGAGGGAATAACCTGGATCTTTAATCCTCCCCATGCTTCCCATCATGGTGGTACATGGGAGAGAATGATTGGCCTGGCAAGAAGAATACTTGACACCATGTTCCTTCAGCTAAAAGATAAACTTACCCATGAAGTGTTGGTGACCTTTATGGCAGAAGTAGCGGCTATCATCAACGCTAGGCCTCTGGTGCCAGTTACACATGACCCTGAAGATTTGTACATGCTCACTCCAGCCACTCTTCTTACTCAAAAGGTAAACGTCCTTCCAGCTCCTGTTGGTGACTTCGGAGTGTCTGACCTCTACAAGTCTCAGTGGCGCCAGGTACAACACTTGTCCAACACTTTCTGGGACAGATGGAAAAAGCAGTATCTGCCCACACTTCAGCCACGCAGGAAATGGCAGTCTACACAACCTAACGTGACAGAAGGAAGTATTGTTCTTTTAAGAAATAACGACCTGGCAAGGAACGAATGGCCCACTGGACTGATAACGAAGACTTTTCCAGGTGAAGATGGAAAAGTGCGGGAAGTTGAAGTGAAGATTGTAAAACCAGGAGGGACTGCACTCTATCGTAGACCTATTACAGAGATAGTAGTTCTCCTTCCGAAAGAGGATTAGTCATACAAACTGTTGAAGTTGTTAGTGACGTGTATACACGCCAGGCGGGGAGTGTATTGCTACGAGCAAATGTAATGTTAATCTTGTTTGTTTTCGTAAGAATTAATGTTTAAATCTCATTGTTAGAAAAAATGGTACTGTCGCTTTAAGAGGGACTGGATCTCAGACACAGGAAGTTGCATAGGCTATAGAGTGAGGAAATCAGGAAGCAAGCACATGGCACAGAGTGGAGGTTGTTAGTCGAGTCAATCCAGCTGCATCTGCAAACGTCTTCTGCTTTTTGTTAGCATCGTAGGTATGTATTGAAAGTTAAATATATTCTTTGTCATATTAGTTCATTATTTTTGGGAAAATTATATTTTGTAAACATATATTTACACACTGGGAAATAACATTGCCAATTTGGGTTTATAAGGCGGATATATGTGTTAACCCCTTCACTGAAATAAGTCAACAGATAAATACATAATTCATGGCATGTTAAAAATATAAAATATGTAAACTAAAAGTACAAGTTAATGAGTACAGCTGATTTCATTGTTAAACAGTGATTTATTTGATTTCTGTTGAATGTGTTTGTTTAAGAGGAAACAGAACTGATTATAATTTGTATGTTTCAGTTTCACCTTCCTTGCTACGTCAATAAACCTGTGTACAAGGAGTCATCTGTCTGCAGAGTCTTGATGTTCAAGGAGGCGTTTATCTGACTGTCAAGTCATATAGAGCACGTATGATGAGGACAGCACAAGAACATTTGAAGGAACCAGGAGAGTATTGGGAGAATGTCAAATGGTCAGATGGAACCAAAATAGAACTTTATAGTAAAAACTCTACTCGTCTTGTTTGGTGGAAAAAGAATGCTCAGTTGTATCCAAAGAGCATCATATCTGCTGTAAAGCATGGGGGTGGAAACATCATGCTTTGGGTGTGCTTTTCTGCTAAGGGACCAGGATGAGTGATCTGTGTAAAGGAAAGAATGAATGGGGCAATGCATCGTCAGATTTTGAGTGAAAACCTCCATCCATCAGCAAGGGCATTGAAGATGAAACGTGGCTGAGTCTTTCAGCATGACGATGATCCTAAACACACTGCCTAGCTAATGAAGGACTGCCTTCATAATGGGGATGTAAGAAATTATCGATATGGCATTGTATTGTGATATTTTTTTTCTGCGATATTATAGCAATATTCAAAAGCCGTGTATCAAAAATATTGATATCAGAGTATATCATGATATTTTTTACTGCAATATTACATTGATATTCAAAAGCCTTGTATCTAATTTTTGGAACAATTTCCTTGCAAACTTTTGTGTATTTTCTTTTCTTTTGGTGCAGTTCAAATGCCAACCGCTGGTTGGCAGCAGTGTGCAGTGGGTTTTGTTTCCACCATTGAAATGTAAATCCCTTAATGGAATTTTGTTATGGACCAAACACTTATCTTCCACTGTCATTTGCAAATAAAGTCTTTAAGATTAAGACAGTGGGATTTTCTGGATTATTTGTTCTTCTTTTTGTCTCTCATAATCGAGGTACACCTATGATGAAAGTTACAGGGCTCATCTTGTTAAGTGGGAGAACGTGCATAATCAGTGGCTGACTAAATATTTTTTTGTCCCACTGTATATAAATATCCTAAAACCTCTTTTTGTTATTTAAAGAAAGTTCCAAGACCAGAACAAAGCAAGAAAAGGAACGTGCACTACATAGTAAACTTTCCTCCACAATTAAGGAAAATGATTTCTGAGATAAAGCCCCTCATGTTACTGGACTACTCTGTTCCGAAAAAGGCAGAAGACTTGGCTATGTTGGAACACAGTCTCCTGAGGTGAGTACACTTCCTAAAGCACAGTGTATACTAAATGTTAAACCGTTTATGGTGTCTCTGCTTTCTGCTGCTTTAACCTCATCTTTAGGTCTGCTGATGATCTGAACAACCTTATCGAAGACTTTCACTCATTGGTGGACAGCCTGCGTGAGGAGCATCTCGACATGCTGCTGCCACATATAGAAGTGGTCAAAAAAGAGATGGAATTTGGATTGAAGAAGCTCAACTGGTGTTGCTCAGGTTTGTTACCTTCACAGGATAAGCTATTTGAAGACCATGCAGTGGTTACATTATTCTTTCTGTTAGATTAAAGCACAAACGGTGTTTGGTTTTAGGGATACCTGAGTTCATCAGTCGAGGTGTCCAGGCTGTTTCTAAATTCAAGTCCATCGTCAACCAGATTCACAACAACGAGCGTGCAATTGATTCCAAGCTACAGTCGATAACTCTGTCCAACTTGCTGAAACTGCCAGTATCTGATAAATCTAGAGACTTGCCAGGTAACACGAAATTAAGGAGATATTTACTGGTTCAAAAAATGAAAATCTACCAGTGTAAAATCTTTTTTTTTAAGATATCAAGGACTTCTGTGACTGCATTGAGGGAGAGCAAACCAAGACTCTGAATATTCTCACTAAGAATTATTCTGACATCAGTTTCCTCATCAATGAGACAGAATATGTGATTATGAAAACCAGAAGTGGCAAAGCCAAATGCATGGCTAGTTACAATAAATACTGGGAGTGCAAAGTGTTTGATTCCCTGATAGAGATGCTCCAGAGGTAATCAAATTATGATTTACCCTTGTATGTTTTAGTGTTAAAAACACATTCACACATTTGTTTGTCCTTTTGTGACCTTAAGGAGCATTCAGACGTTCACCAAGGTGCTGATGGGAAACACAGCTGTTTTCAAAGCAAACGTCGTCCTATCTACTGGTATTGTGTTAGAGCCACGAAGTGACGTCATCAACAGGATGATCACGGGGTGCATTGACATGTGTGTAGAGAGCACCAAGGTGAGCTCCTCTGGTGATATTTCTGGAAAGTATGTGCATCTAGCATCAAACTAGTGACTTGATCAGGCACATAATTTTGATTTCAGCGTTTTCCACGTTGGATGCATGGGACCTGCATCAACTGCCCCATACAACTTGTGAATGATGAAGAGGGGTCTAAGAAATTCACATTCTTCTGTGATGTGTCTAAGCATCCTCAGATAAAGCTAAGTCATTTAATGGTGTCCCAAAAGATTGAGGAGCTGCTCCTCTCAGTGAGTCGCAACTTTGAGTACTGGAAACGCTACCAGTTTCTTTGGGAAAAGGACAGATGTCTTGTGACTGGAGAGTTTGCAGCCAAAAATCCATCCTATGCCAAGTATGATGATGAGATGAACGTCTTTGCTATGGCTAAGCAAGATGTGAATCTGGAGCCTCGCTGCAAGACGGAGAGCATGATCCATCTGAACCTATCGCCACTGCTTAACACACTACAGGTGATCGCAGAGTCCTGGATCGATTCACTTGGTTATTTGCTCAACAAATCTGCCAAAAAGAATCTCTTCAACTTTAGAGATGAACTCACGGTACTGAATCATGCTCCTCAGTCAGATGTTCCCAAGCTGAATGTTTCTGGATTTTTAACTTAATATTTGTCTTACACAACAGCAACTCTCTAAAAAGCTGAAGCAAAGCCCAGACACTGTGAACGACCTGAAGTCTGTTCTCAGCACCATCTCAGACATCAGGTACATGTCTGTAGACATGGAAATAAGAATCACTGATATCCAGGAGAGCTACAGAACCCTGGCCATCTATAAAGCTGAGGTACTGTGTTCAATTTGAAGTTGTTACTCAGAGATTGTATTTCTCACCCAGGTAATACCACAGTTCTGTGTGTGCCCTAGGTTGGAGAAGATGAAAAAGAGCTGGTGGCCATTATTGACCAGACATGGAGTGACCTTTACACAGAATCTAGACAAGTGGATCATAGTCTGAAAGATGTCAAGAAGTCATTTGCTGTGGTACAGTTTCAACAAGTCATTCATTAATATCTGAACTGAAAAGAATGTTTCAGAAATACACAGAGCCAACACATCTTTTTGGTTTCTGTTAAGATTACCAAAGAGAAGGTTGAAGAGTTCAGACAGAACGTGTCCATCTTTGCTGAAAGCTTCAACCTGCATGGTCCTGGAGCTGTGGGAGAAGATTTGGATAAAGGTGCCTAAATCAAAACCAGTAAAGGAATGTTTACATGTGAAATGCTGACATTTTCATTGTTGTTGTTTTTTTCCAGGACTGAGCATCATGGACAAATATGAAAAAGACCTTGCCAAGATTGTGGCTGAATGGGAAGAGCTGACTAATGCTGAAAAGCTGTTGGACCTGCCTGTCACTGTGTGCCCAGAGGTCACCAGGATTCAGAAAGACATGAGCGGCTTAAGACAGGCTTATAATGTGTATGAAGCACAGAAGTTGGGAGAATGTTTGAATTTTCCCATCCTCAATTGATTCCACACTTTCTTGCTTGAGTTGGTTCTTTTTTACAGGAAGCAAAAGCAAGATGGTCTGAAACACTGTGGGTAGATTTGGACATCCAGATGTTACAGGACAACATAGAAGGCTTCATCAAAAGCCTGAGACAGCTGCCCAAAGATGTGAGGGCTTTACCTGTTGCTTTTTTTCTGGACGCGAGTATGAACGAGTTCAGAGAATCACTGGCTCTTCTGCTAGACTTGAAGCACGAGGCACTCAGAGACAGGTTTGTCTGGAAAATGAAGAGTTTGAGTTCATTTCTTTTTTAAGGCAAATTTTTATGCCAATTAATTTATTTCACATCATGAGAACATTTGTTGGTTTTTCTTTTATCACGTGGTTACTTTATTATTGTTGTTTTAATTTTATTTTAGGCACTGGGAGGAGCTGATGGAAAGGACTGGCACCAGCTTTGAGATAAACCCTGACAGCTTTACTCTGGAGAACATGCTTGCTATGGAACTGCATAAATATGCAAACGTCATCAGTGACATTGTCACATCTGCTATAAAAGAGCTGAACATCGAGACACAGTAAAAAAATGACTGTGGAATTTACATAAAAACTTTGTAAATGCACAACAGAAATGTTATGTAAACTGGAAAACATGTATTTTCTGTTGTAATCACATTAAATGTTTGGAAATGATTAAACAATATGTTTATGTTATATTTACATTACCATTATGTGAAAATAACTATATCTATTTGTTAAAACAACAAATAAAGGTAAAAAATAAAGCAAAACAATGTAATCCTTTTAACACAACAATTCTGGCAAGATTACATTAAAATATTGTAAAAAACTTTATTTTTGGCCTATTATTTTTAAAATACAATAACAGAAATATGTAAGTCACTTTACAAATTTAAGATGTACCTATAATTGATTAAATTGTGCCTATTTCCGGTAATAGAATTGTTTTCAGTAAAAAATTAATCAGCATCATGAGAAGTTATCAGCTGCTGGGGTCCTAAGGTAGTGAGATCCTCTCCCACTGGTCAACATTATGATCATGTCACAGAAAATAATAATAATATTAATAATAATAATGCATAGGTGGATTTATAAAGCACTTTTAACAACTACTAAAGAATGCTGTTCAAATAAGGAGACAACCAGACAAAAACAAAATATAAATGAAATGTTATATATATAATTTTTTTGCTAACCATAACATTTGCATGCATAATGTTAAATTTAGTTTTAAATGGTGATCTACAACTTTTCCTTCTGGTTTTCTGTTTATTGATGAAAAATAAATACTAAAATGAGCACAGTGTGACTATCACAGGCTAAACAACATGAAAGTGCCTCCTCTGAAAGTGGACTTGTACATTTTCTTTTGTTTTTAATACGATTTAGCTGAAGAGCGTCTAATTTTGAATTTGAAAATGTAAAGCTGAGGCTCGTCTCTGATTGGATAAGACGTGAGGGCGGGAGGAGTACGTGCTTCACGTTCACGGTGCGACTGACGTCAATAACGAGCGAACGAGATAGACGCGGGCAAATGAGCTGCGCGAGAGCAAGCAAGCTGGTGTGAGATAGTACGTACGGAGCCCCTAAAGGGACATGGGAGGGGAAAAAAACTATTGCGAGATCTCGCAAAACCTGGACTTCCGGCAAAATGGCGGAGCGGGTGCATCACAAATTCTGAACGCAATCTATTTGTCCCAGTTATTCAACAACCTGACCATCCAGCTATATTCACCAGATATTTCAAGCTTTATATCATTGTGAAATTCACTTTTAAGAAAGAGTTAAGCCATGGAACCGTCTTCAAAACGTGACACGGCCGCTACCCACCACAACTACGCAGCAAAGATGGAAACTTCGGCTGAGAGCCTCAAAAGGAAAGACCCTTTCTCTCCGGCAAAGAACAAAACAACCTCCAAAATGAAGGACCAGACTACAGATGAAGGTACGAAGGCCATCCTTGAAGCGATAAAAAAGCTCACAGATAAAGTGGAGGGCCTCGGCACGCAAATTAGTCACAACTCCAATTTGCTAGCTAGTATGGCTAAAGCAATGGAGTTCAACGCAGCGGAGATCAAAGACTGTAAAACGCGGCTACAAACCATGGAGCGAGAGGTATCAGTCAATAAAAAAGATAACACCATGCTAATGGAAAGTGTCCTGGAGTTAGAGAGGTACAAACGCCGATGGAACCTCAGAGTCAAAGGATTAAAGGAACGTGAAGGAGAAGACACGCGAGATATGATAGCAAACTTGCTGAAAAAAATCTCACCTGAATGGGCTCCGAACATCAACCATATCGTGGATTCTGCTCATCGGCTGGGGAAAAGAGAGGAGAAAAGAACCAGGCATGTCCTCGTCCAGTTCACACAAAGATTACACCGTGACGCGCTGTGGAAGATGACCAAGGATTCCTCCATTTGCAAAGAACTGGGGATCGGATTCATTGAAGACCTCTGCAAAGCTGACAGGGAGGCTCGAATGGCGCTGTGGCCTAAAATTCAACAAGCACGGGCGGCTGGAAAACGAGCGTACTACAGAGGAGGAGACGGTTACATCGATGGTCACAAAATCACGGTCTGAAGAACAGGAAGACTTAAATACGGTCCGGATGGTCCAATAATTCAAAATATTGAAGGGACATTAACATATCCTTTTGTGCCTTTTTGAGCCTTATGTCCTTTTTTTTTCGCAGACTTATCCAAAAGTCGGTTGAAGTTATTGTTCTCTAGCAGTTGCTAGTTAGTTTAGTTAGTTTAATAATGAATGTTAATCTTTTTTGCATCTCTTTGAATGCTAGGGGCTTAAGAGACATTAATAAGAGAAAATCTATTTTTTTGTTTTGTAAGGGAGAGAAAGCTAACATTATTTTATTACAAGAAACACACTCACAACAGGAGGACGAAAAATTCTGGATTAATCAATGGGGGGATAAAATTCTTTTTGACCACGGCTCCACCAAATCAGCAGGAGTGGCCATTCTATTTTGTAATTCTCCTTGGAAATTAGTAGCTTCTAAATTTAGCAGCAATGGTCACTGGCTAATCTGTGTTTTAAATAGTGATGACCAGTATTGTATTGTGGCTAATATTTATGGTTTTAACAACCCAAATCAAAATAAACTCTTGCTTACAGAACTTTCTAACAATATCACTAATCTAAAACTAACCTACCCAAGTGCAAGTATTATTGTTGGAGGTGATTTTAACATGGTTTATGATGAGCATTTGGATAGATACCCTTCTAGGTGTCAACATAGTTCTCATAATTCCACCTTATCTAATTTCTGTGGCAATCACAGCTTAGTAGATCCCTGGCGCCTGGCAAATCCTAATTTTAAACAATACTCCTGGTTCAAACCAAATAATAACCTAAAATCTAGGATTGACTTCTGGTTAATTTCTGCTTCAGTTACATCTCATGTCTCAGACTGCTGCATGTCAGCAGCTCCTCTGTCTGATCACTCAGTTATAAAGTTGAAATTTGCGCCTCCTGGCGGTGGACTCAGAAATAAAGGCTACTGGAAATTCAATTCTGCATTACTAACTTCTCATGAATACTGTGATGGTATTAAATCTCTAATCACTGAAGTGATGGCTGATAACACTATAGGGTCTTATGTGTCAAAGTGGGAGTTTCTAAAATTCAAATTTCGAAAATTCTCCATCCATTTTGGGAAATCATTTCACAAAAACAATAAACTAGCAGAACTTAATCTAATTAAAGAAATTAATACGTATTGTAATAAGGCATCACCAAATGAAAGTGACAAACAAAAATTATTAACTCTACAAGGTAAGCTTGATGAAATGTATCTAAAAAAAGCAGAAGGAGCCTACATAAGATCCAGAGCTAAATGGATTGAAGATGGTGAAAAAAGCACAGCTTATTTTTGTCAACTAGAAAGAAGAAGGCAAGAAAGAAATTCAATTAAAACATTATTAATTCAAAATCAAATATGTACAGATCCAACTTTAATTACAAAAGAATTGACCTCTTTCTACAGCAAATTATACTCAGCGGCCTTCTCTGAGACTGATTCAAACTTTTTCTTCGATCACATTAAGAAATTTATCCCGAGTATAGATGATGATTTTGCAGAGTTATGCGATGCTGATATTACTATGCTTGAACTAGACAACGCAGTTAAAAACTTAGCCATAAATAAATCCCCCGGTTGTGACGGCCTAACGTCTAATTTCTATCGACACTTTTGGGATCTGTTAAAAAATCCATTTATTCTTATGTTAAAGGAAGCAACTGATACTTTATATTTTCCTCCCACTATGAAACAAGGCCTAATTACTCTGATACCAAAACCCGGTAAAGACTCTAAAATTATAGATAACCTTAGACCCATAACATTATTGAATACTGATTATAAAATTGTAACCTTAGCCTATGCCAATAGATTAAAAAGCAAATTAAACTCAATTATAAGTGATTCCCAATCTGGCTTTATGAAAGGTAGATCTATTCACAATAACATTCGTTTGGTGATGGATCTCCTAGACTATAGTCACTTAATTGATGATGACGGTTTTATCTTATTTCTTGATTTTTATAAAGCCTTTGATTCTATTGAACACCCCTTTATCTTTCAATGTTTAAAACAGTTAGGCTTTAGAAACAAATTCTGTGCTACCATTGAATCTCTGTATGATAATGCAACTAGCTCTATTTCATTACCAAATGGAACGTCACCACGATTTGATATTAAAAGAGGGGTTAAACAAGGGTGTCCTATCTCTCCCTTTCTCTTTATAATTGCTACAGAAATGCTTTCTATCTTTATTAAAAATTCAGATATTGCTCCCTTAAATGTTATGGGATTACCTGTAATCATTAGCCAACTTGCAGACGACACAACTATTTTTATGAAACATCTTACAGAGACTCCTAAGATAATAGAAGTTCTTAAGGTGTTTTCCCAGGCCTCCGGACTTAGTCTTAACTTAAAAAAATGTGAGTTAATGCCAATTCATCAAAGTGATTTAACAGAAGCATATAACATTCCTATTAGGTCAACGGTAAAATACTTAGGAATACATATATCCAAAGACCCAACTGAAAGGGAAAACTTGAATATATGGAAAACAATAGCAGAGTGTCAAACTAAACTAAACTCCTGGTTGTTGAGAGACATCAGTTTACTTGGGCGTGTCTTTCTTACTAAAATGGAGAGCATATCTAGATGTATCTACCCCGCATATTCACTGACCATTCCTAACAGAGCCATTAAAAAGATCAACCAAATCAACTTTGATTATATATGGAGGAAAAAAATGCATTACATTAAGAGAGCAGAAATGACCAAAGAATATAAAGATGGTGGACTACAAGCTATAGACTTTGAGATCATGGATGGAACACTGAAAATTAACTGGTTAAAATCCTTCTTTAACAATAAAAGCTTCTGGTATCATATACCCAGGGAAATCTTCAAAAGGTTTGGAGGCATTGACCTTTTGTTAAAATGCGATTTCAATATTAAGAAACTTCCGATTAAATTATCCCAGTTCCACCAACAAGTCCTTTTATATTGGAAGCTTTTATACAACCATAATTTCACTCCACACAACACGCCAATTTGGAACAATAGATATATTACAATTAAAAACAAATCATTATATAAGAAGGACTGGATGGACAAAGGCATTTGGTCCCTAATTCATTTAACTGATAATGATGGGCGTGTG